AAATTACCATTACCAGGAGATAACTTGGCATTATGGAGACCCGTCTAATCAACTCACTCAAACAACTGCCCACAGTCATTTATATTATACAGACACGAATCCAAAAAACATTATTGTCCATACTTTCACGAGGCAATCTTCATCGTTGATTTCAGGATGTTTCCACGTCTACGAATGATTACAGAGCTCACCCATACGAGTAATATGCGATTTGTACAGTTTAGCGCTAACAACCCGTACTCCTTGGCTCAATCCAAGTTTGAAAAGGTAAATTAATTCGTCGACAGCTCTGAGTTGTTTTGAACTATGATGACAAAGCGTAGTGCAGTCGCGAATGTCCTATTTCCGCATTCTGTAACTCGCCATGTAGTTCCTATTTGGGATGATGTGAAGCCAGGGAGACATGGATTCTGATTCCAGAATGAGAAAAAACGAGGATCGCATATGCCCTACATGTTTCGCCTTCCTTTCGCACAAGGTGGAGTATTTAGTGCCAATATGTTGGACAGATTACTTTACCAGGTAGCGTTCCACTTCAAACCATTGTAAACCCTTCGACTATTCAACGGATTCCTTTATATTCAGGCCATTATCAAGCCGTACGTGGTAACATTAACTCGCCTACTACTTGGGATCGATCAATCTGCTGGGAGTGGCTATCTTTCTTCGGTAACCTTTACAGTTGTAATGACGCTTCTTGTTTTTTGCCCAAATCAGTTTACTAGATGTTTAGATAAAATTGCCCTTTGCTTTCCGACTTCGGCGAAAATAGGTTTAGAACCCTGTTTACCGTAAATTGTTTACTGAAGTTCCGCCCACTTCTTTGAAATTGCATTCCACACATCCCTAACATAGTAAACAGAATCCAGCACTGTTCTAAAGCAATTTTGGATCTAGATTGATCTTTTTCAACTAATTTTCTGGAGATCTCAAAATGCAACCCCGACAGCTTATAAGGAGATGGAACGTTCTCGAAATTTAGCTATCAGGGTGAGAGAAACTTTTTTGGACGGCTGCCATCCTCCTGTTTTCAATCCGTAAACCAACCCTCTGTGATTCTGTGGTTAAACTGGTGAAGGCAAGCTTTACTTTGCTTGCCAACATCTCATACACCGCTAAAGTTTTTTGCTACTGTTACAAGTAAAATTTACTAGAAATGTTGAACCTTTAATTGTGCTTGCGAGGGGATCTCATAGAAAGTCCCTGTACTTGGTCCCCTAAGGGAGGATGGTTGTCGCTCTTCTGTGCGAACTGATTTGGTGTGGATCATAACAGAGAATCGCATAGCCCAGCTTCGCAATGTTTGGATCGATCCAACAAAAGGGAAGGATTATTACTAGCTATCTAGCAAAAAAATCTGCTTGTTTACGTAAGAGGTAAGAATGAGGTCTTTTTCGTTGAACAACCCGTTTTTAGATGCGTCCTGCACTGGACATTCATTTTGAATCGTACTGGCATTTTGAATGCCTTATTTAGCCTTCACATAGAGGTTTTATCTTTCCAAGTGCATCTTTGGAGGGATGGAAGGCCTCACTGTCCTGGGCAAGTCAATCCCATCATGCCCATTGTGATGCACCACTTGGCGCAACGCCACCTTTGCCTTTTTGTATTGATAGTATTACTGATATTCGGTGTAGATATCTTCGTTATTTTTTATACACCATATTAAACGCCTTTTTTCCAGATGGTGATCACATCTGAAGATCTATGGATCAAAACTTATGGGCAACTGTACAAGAGACTATGCTCATCTGGCGCTAATATACCTTTGGGAATATTCAGAACAAAAGACATGGATACGAAAACGGTAATCTTCAGAAATCATTTTCCAAGCACTACATAAATTTTATTACAACTCTAGGTTTCTCACGAAATGGAGGAAAAGTGTCACTTGGTGGATGTATCGCAACAGGAATTGGCTGTAGAACGACGAAAGGAGATGCTGAATCATATCAGGACCAGAATGCGAGGCATGGGAATGACGGAGGACGATGAGGAATGTGGGTATTTCTTTATTGGATTTCATTAGCAAGCCATGTTTTTCACTCCGATGCTCTACCGCGGAAGTATAGAACTTTGGTTGACCATTCATCGTATGTTTACGTTACAGGCGTTGAAGGCACAGTTCATGATAATTTTGGTGCAACGAGTTTTAAACAGATAAATTATCGTGATTGTTAAGAATAGCACAAAAGTAGCGAAGAAAACGCGGAAATCGGCGTATTTAGTAATACAAGGCTCCGAAGAAGTAGGTAGTAAAATCAGAGGTTGAAAAAGGATGCGACCAAAAAGTCACATGGAATGGATATTGGCATGAGCTGCTCAATTTTTTGTGCCATTGCGCAAAGCTGTCTAACGCAAGCTGCCTGTGTGCAACGTGTGGGCCCCGTTGCGAAAGATGCAACTTCTACAGTCTCTACAATGCTTGATGATTCGTCCGTCTTGGGTGTGTAGGTCTACGGACTAGTTGGGCTCTATCCTTTGGAATGAGCCGGCCGCGTCCATTTCTCTTCTCTTGACGCAATCCCGTTAATCTAGTCTTTGAGAATCCGAACCTCACTTGGTGGCGACTGACAGAGAGAGTGGGGTCATGATCGCCGACCGTTCAGTTTATTTTATTTTTCTTTTGTAATAATCTAGTAGAAAATCTCGATCACCAAGCCGATTACCTCTTACACTCCAATACATTTCAGCTTTCGATAGTGTGGATCCCATCGAGAGCAGTAACAAAATCTCTTTCGTCATAATCAACCCAACCGCAGAACTGCAATTGGAAGCCGGTGATATTGTGTACGTTGCTCTTTTATTTCTTTTGTGCCCACTTGATACCTCAGCATACATAATTGGAGTGTTGTGTAAAACGTGACTTCGTTTTATGGAGCTGACTTCTGACACTCCAAAACTATACCATTTCCTTCCTCTTACCACGCCTCTTGAGGGGAATCTCTTGTTGTATGCGAATGGTCTGCCTGCCACGCTGTTTTATATTTCTCACGCGACCCATCACGTGAGACTCCTAAAAGTGCTAACTATTGAAATAGAAACGTTTGTCTTCACCTTAGTAACGCGTATTAATTAGGAGAATACTTTTAATGCTTTGATGTCCGCTCTTCAAAGGTGATTTCGCCAACCATGCAGGACGCATCTATGCCATTCATTTCGGTTTCTTGCCACTTGTTGCCACCTCTGTCCGAATAGTTTTCTATAAGGATCACTCCACCTGGCGGGGGGTCTTCCTCGCCGTCTTTTTGCTTCGCGGGGGTACCAACTGGTCACTCGGGACGTTTAAAGGTTGTCATTAAGACCACAGCTACATGTCTGCCCAACGTTTGTTTTCGAGTCCTAGATATTTTAGACATTTTCAGTCACATCTTTGACGCTAGTTCGCCTCCGAATTTCGCAAGCAGGAGTTATATACATCAAGATGACGCCGTACATCGCTCGTTGCGTTGCTCGTTGAGTGGATGCCAGTCTTCTTTCTTCATTTATGGTTGTACTCCATGTTTCGCTTCCATACAAAAGCGCCGGCAGGACATGGTTGTTAAACACATGGGCTCTGATTTGGGCATCAATTCTTTTGTCAGTGAGAATATCGCGATACTTATTGAATGTCGCCCAGCTCGCCTTACGACGACGACCTATTCCGATTGTCAAATCGTTGTCCATCGTGACTGCTTAGCCTAGGTAAACGTGTGACGAAACTTCTTCAATGATTGGATCTTCCATGCGCAAACATTAGTCGCTTGCGTTTGCTTTTTACCCACTTGGTTTTTCTTGGGTGGATCTTGAGACCGATAGAGCTAGCAGCGTTTCTTAGGATCCTTAATGAATTCTCGAGAGCACACGATTCGTTCTCAATGAGTACAGTGTCGTCTGGAAACATTGAGTATTGAAACCTTTCGCCTTTATGCAGGGTATCTGGGCGTTTCGCATCACTAGTTGAAGAGCAGCAGAAAAAAGCATCGGGGAAATGACCTCGCCTTGCCGAATTCCGCGCTGTAAGGGCGTTCAGCACTGCTTGATTTCAACTGTATCGAATGCCTTCTTGAATTCAATGAAGAGATAGCACAGAGGAAGAAAAGGAGGTAACCAAGAGAATAACAATCGAATACATAGCGAACACTTTTAGTAATGGTAGAATAAGTTGAGAAAGGATAAGAAAACGAATACCTCTCTTATTTCCGCTCTCTCCTCATATGTAGCCGTGTTCCGCGCAATCATGGCACTCGATCTGCGGGAATAACAGTGAAAAGGCTTGACGTCACCTCTCTTATCCTGAACCGTATTTATTTATTTGGGCTCGCATGTTGAGTCGCATGTGTAGAAGCGATCAGTTTGCAAAGCCACCTCTTCCGAATCCCATCATCTTCCTCCATATGCACTCTTGGCTTCACGATTATTATTCTGAAGTGAACTTGAAGAAAATATCTCGCGGGTAAACGTCTCCCTTTCAAGTCGAGTCTAACTTCAGATTTCACGAACATGATGTTAGACGCTCCAGTTAGTCTCACCAGAGTCCCTTTGCTAGCCTTACCTCTACTGCTGTCTTATTGAGATATTGGAGATGCTAGCACGTACAGCGATCAAAAATTTGCTGTATTTATGGCTTCTTTTTCCGCCTCCTTTTCCCACGCCATTCACCTCCAATCCTTCAATTTGTTGGAGCACCGGAACGTAACTACTGTACGGGAACGTTAACAAATGAGTAGTGTCCTGGGAAAGCAGTCGAATTTTCCTATGGTAAAAAAGCATAATGCTTTCGGTCCTACCAGAATAATCGTCGTCTCCCAGTGAATTCCTGATTTCTGAGAAATTTCAGATACGTGTTGTGTAGCCCCGTGAAAGAAGATGCAGACAGTAAACTGACGAATCCTAAAAGAGGACTCCGAAGGGAACAGCACATCGAGGAGATGACTGTCGACAACGTTGACAACAATGTAGATCATATGTCATACGATGCTCTGTCGCTTCCGTAGAAATCCAACTTAACTGCAGCTAATGATCCTTCATAATCTGGTTTGAAATCTGTGCATACTTCTAGTGCCATACTTGTAATAATTTCGGTGCTAGTATTATATATGTACTGAAGAACTTGCTGAATTCCCGGTTATCCTTCTCATAAGAGGTGCTTTTGTCTAACTTCTACATTGTTCTTATACTTGTTACAGTTAGGGCTGTATTCGTTGCTGTTTCCAGATGTTTTCCTGTACATAAAGTTTTCAGAAATCACAGGTAAACAGCCTCTCAACTAATTAAAACAACTTTTGGTAGCAGGGATACTGTTGCCAACTCTTTACGCAATTACACTCGTCTGAAATCTCGTCCAAACACCCCTCTCGTCGTTCTAGACTCCGAGCTCTGCGTTTACCCAGATTTAGGAAGCCTCATATATCGCACATTGTGCAGACTATATTCTGCTTCACTTCACGCTTCGGCTCTTCAACTCAAGAAGGGTCCCTTAGGGGTACCCCAAATATAGTGAAATGTGCCTTTGAGTAGCTAATGGGGAGCTCTGAGGGAAGGGAAGCACTTCACTTTGTGCACAGTATTCGGAGTAGCAATGAAATGAATATTTATTCACAAACACATGTCCTGTCAAATCATTTGGATATGACGTTCGGATCAAAGGAGCATCTAGAAAAGAATGAAATCAAACCGGCAAGAATAGCTAAATCATCCAATTTTTAATTGTGAATGAATAACGGAAACGCGTGTAGAACATCAAGTGGATAAATGGGTAAAGTCTGCAGCTAATCGTCAAAGTGTCGTTCAGGAAAGTCGTACACCTCAATTTTGGAATTTGTCCCACAACTTCTTGGCGTAAAGTCTTCCATCTAGAATTTTCTATTATTATTTGTAGTTGTCCTCCTTATACAGCGCGCTCAAAAGTATAGCTTCTCCCTATCCATATCCAATATTCTATAGTGGACGATGAATTCTCCAATAATATATATAAGCAATAACTTATTACTCAACAATTCGAAGTAAAGTTAGGAATAAAATGTTTAGGAGAAAAAAAAGGAAATTGATTCCAGCGCATTTTTTCAAATCCCGAAATATTTCAAAAATTGTAGGATTCATTCCAAGACCAGAATCTATATCTAACAACGACCGAACCGTAGTTCTTAAGATGTTACCTGTTTCAATAGCAAATCCGTTCTCCTCCTCTGCTCCTTTAACTCTCGCTGTAGTTGTTCGTTTTGACTTTCTAAGGCAGTCATACGATCCCACAGCATTCGATCTTCCATAGTGGTGTGATCACTGTTCGTCTTATTGAAGAACCTTATAAACTCTCTGAACTTAGAAAACTTTGATCAACTTGAATAAAAAAACACCATCAAAATGTTAAGCTAATGGTCGAGCTTTACCTCAACCAAATTCCTCCGACACCTCATCACCAGTGGTAATGGGAGAGAAACAACTGCGGAATTGTATCAAACAACCAAAGAATGTAGTTCTAGGAATAAAATGCCGGGTAATTAGGAATGCAACCACCAGCATAACCTTCTTTTTTTTCCAGTTGAAAGGTGGACATCGGTCACTTCCTCAGATCAGTAGGACAATATGCTGGTCGTTTTAATGATAGAATCCGGTGAGGAAAGCAAGGTGCTCAGCAGCATTTTATCAAGCCTGTATAGTTCTTTTTGTGGAGATTCTCGTGGATGAATACGTACTCCCAGTGAACCGTCAGTCTGACAAGTTGACTGAGAAGTCGTCTCAAAAGCTCATGCAAGAAGGAATTGATGGTCTTCAGCTGCATGAAAAAGCATATGAGAGACTGCATAATCTTTAATGTGGAGCTCACAATCAAACACCACAACTATCTTTGTGACACTATAAAAAGGCGTCCACTTCTAACTGAGTCCTTACATCGAATATACCGTACGTCTATCAGCAGGAACTAGGACGCTACCCCCGATTAAGTACCTCTAGAACAGGCGTTACAGTATGGCTGCTTTCATAGTCCGTTCCTTGCTCCTTGTTTACAACTGAACAGCCAATCATCACTATGCAGCAACACCATAAAAACACCTCAGATCTAGCCTTCGCAGCCTTGCGACCTAGCGCTCCCAGAATGACACCTTCAACAATTCCATTCCATTTCAAGCCCCTTACAAATTTTCGTAGACAGCTTTGCACGGTTTTGTGGATGAATACCAGCCAGGACAACTGGGTCTTGCATATCATGGATGCCTTCCTTCGCTGTTTTTGTTTTGCGTTTGGAACAAACAAAATGTGGCTCCTGTTGTCATTTGGGCATCCTTTCGTATGAAATTCTCGCTGTTTTTAAAATAAACCGTGTTTGCGTTCATAGCCAATACGCTCGCCGCCAAATCGCTGATGAAAAGTTGTCTTCTTTTCAGTGAATGATCAACAGAAAAAAGCGCTTTAGAGAGGAATTGGAAACGTCGGTAAAAATTATTAGCATGTCTCACGTTGTGCTTTCTTCTTCGCCTTTTGTATTTTGCGACCTACAAACAAACAAAACTCCTATAAAAACTAACTAAAAACTAACTTTGGTTTTGAGACGAAATGTTGTAATCTCACCAGGATGGTTCTCCAAATACAGTTTTCCTGTTGATGTATATGAATGGAATCAGAGCTACAGGGAGCAGACGGATTAGTGACCAAAACGAACAGAGTATAACACATCCAATACCAATGAGAAGCGAAAAAGCTAGTACTTTCCCATTGTATCTGAATAAACCGTGCTTATACAGCTCAGGGGATGAATTTGGCTGATAGCCGGAGCCAAATAGCACCGCAAAAGTACCCTTCCCTGAATTGTTTTTCTAAACATGAACCCCATGCGTATCCGAGTTCTAATATTTTGAAGCAACCAAAACTCAATCGAATTTATAGACAGAAGAGAGGGATCGAAGAAAAGGAGTGTTGCACATCTCATTGACTTGATAATGGGTTAACTGCTATCATTTCGCCGCAGTGTGTATCCGAAAGGTTGGCGAGCTGTGGGCAGAAATTAGGCCTAGGGCGGAACTCAAATCCGTGCTTGTGCTATCCGGGCTCCGTGCTTTTTATCCTTTTCACTACCGAGACCATGCCTGTCCTCACTTTTTCAATGATTTTCATGCCATACATCATCAGCACTCACACGTTCAGCGTGGCGAGTTATTACGATGGTCTCGTTAGTGTAAGGCATGAAGGGCACGGTACCCGGATAGCACGACTACGTGTTTGAGTCCCGTAGAGTTCGAGTTTTGTTCAAAACTCGCCTATTGGTGCGACATCCATTGTCAAGCATTGCATCCTAGGAAAGTTGCCGACTTATTCGATATGAATAGAGTAACCTGTGGTCAGCCTACTCAGCTACGTTTTCCCCTTCGTCAGAAACCCTTTCCCACAGTAAGAATTCACGGTCTTTTATAGTAGAGGATTCCACAAGCGTTGAAACACTTTGGTAATTGCCCTGTTGACCCTTATCAAAATGTCAGTTAGAATGTAATCAGAGACCTTCTGTACTGGCTCTCTTATAGCTCAATAGACGCTACAACGAATACTTACTCTTTTTCCGGATCGCTTTCCCATTCCTCGGTCAATTGCTCTGAAAGTACAGCCGTACGTTTCTACAACTGGGTTTCATATTTAGCAGTTGTTTCGCAGAAGGGTAAATAGTTCGTTATTATGAGGGGCAGCCTCAATATCAGGCTTTGCTTCTGTTTATAGTCTGTGTTTGTCGTATTGCGCACAGAAAAAAGAGCCTTGGTGCTAGCTAGCCCAATTAAAATACTAGTATTAGGAATGCATCTGCCGAAAATTCAACTCAATTCCAGGTTTTTTTCTGGAATGTTCTGCATGTTTCTACTAAAATACTATGAAAGAGTTATTCCGATGAATTCCCTTCTACTGAAGCCATATAGATGATGAAGTCAATTTCAGAGAGGAGCTGGATTCAGGAAGTTGTTTCCTAGGGTTAGCTAATTTAGCCAACATTTAAGAACTGAAGTGAATGATGACAAATTACATTCAAACCTGCTGTAGGAGGGAGACTCTCTTGGCTCGATGATTCGGGGTGAATGACGGGTGCTCGGCGAACATCATTTCCCTGAGCGATTAGAAAGATTGAAAGAAGAAAAGGAAGTTATCCCAAAAACTGTAGAAGTAGTTCAATTTTCGTTTCGATTTACGACTACCCTCGCCTCCTTCATTCCCCATCCCGTCTTATCCTCATCCCGTCCCCACGCCTCTCCTTACCCAATATAGCACAGAAACCGGCGCCAAATTAATGTAGAAACCCATTCACAGCAATGTATAGAAGTGAACAAAAAATGGGGACGATGGGGTTTAGTAAACGCCTGTTGTAAAAAATCTAAAACGTACCAAAAAAGCGATGTTTATTTCTGTAGAAAATTCTGAAGGGTTAGACGAGAACGCTCGAGAAGGTGGGTGTTCCGTACTCATCAAGTTGCAGCCTTGCACAACCCTGCACTACTCTTCTAGGCAACATTTGCATAATGGACAATCACCCGCTCTTGGTTTCAAAGACGCAGTTTATGATAATTTTGAGATTCCCTGTTCGAGTTGAAAAAGCTGAAGAATAGGTCGCAAAAGTGCGTCGATGGTGAAGGAAGCGAGGAAGTACGCTGTTTTTGTGACAAATAGGGCTCCCAAAAGCAGTGAAAATAGAGGTTGTACGAGATCAACATGAGGGAAATGACATGGAAAGGATATTTGGACGAGATTTCGCTTGTTGCAACTGCAGAAAGAGCCGACTACATCAAGCTAGGACTGTACAGAATTACCTTTCACTGTCGCTGAGGGTCATGACAAGTTATTTGAACTTCCTAAATGATTTCTCTGTAAATAGCGCAGCCTCTAAAATGCCGTTGAAACATACGGGGCAATTTTGGAGCTTCTATAACGCCCAAACTAGCCTGCTTAACGACTTGACAACGTCACATATGGTAACTTTTGAGATGTCCCACTAAAATAAATCTGTGCCCACCACGAGGTGACGGGGGAAAAGCACAGATTCACTCTAGGGACATATGTCAGAAGCAATTTTTATCGTGAACTGTGCCTTCATGTTCAACGATGGACTGCTTAGGTGATGAGTGATCCATCCTTGCTCTTCTCCTTTCCATATAATGTTTAATTGTCCGCAAAACTTCTCATGATTTTGGTAAAGTCAGTATATGGTGATCCTACTGCAAACCGGCGAATTCCTCTTAGGAGGTAGCCCGAAAAAACCTATCGAGAGCTAGGGTAATAGTAATTACCAATTGCTAGTGAAAGCTTAAAAAAGGGCTGTTGCAATGTCAGCGATGATGCAGCATTGCTATGACATGATTGGGTTCTTCGCTTGCTTACTTCGATCATAACTTCGATGACACCAATGTCGATTTGTAGCGTAATAAAATGATTAACTGGGACGACTGCGCTCTTTTAAGTGAAATAGCAATTACATACATCGGTAAAGGATACATAGGGTGGCATCCCATAACTGGGTAATTAGAGAGTTCTAACAGGATACATTTCAGCACGTTAGTATCAGACGATATCGATAATAATAATAACTTTCTACAGTTGACTCGGCACGAGAGCTGCAAGCTGATAGCATAGCTACGTGGTCTACCATGAAAGCATATGTGTAAACGGACATAAGCCAGCCTTAAGCGCTTAGCTAATCTCACACCGCGTTTTAAGCGGGTTTTCCCACGCCTACACGGGGAACACTTATCATCACTTGAACACTAATTTTGTAGGACACTTGCCCCTTCTGTTGTTTGTGAGCTTAATTAGAATTGAGCAGGATTCAATCCATTGCTTAACAATCTTGACTAGATAGCACACTGAAAACTTGCATCATACCAACCTTTGTTTTCGTCGGGCTTGGTCCCTGACTGAATCTAGTCACGGGACTGAAGTTGTTTGGGAGACCATGATTTGCACTTCTGGGATCGAGCTCAGAACGGTACTGAGCGCTCTGCCAGTGCATTTCTCGACAGCCGGGCTCACAGCGATGTGCAAATGAGCAACTTGCCGAACTCTCACAGGAGTAAGCATAAAGGGCTGGATCTAATCCGTGAACATGACATGTTGAACAAGAGACCATTGTCTGTGGCTCCTGGAAAAAGTTTTCTGATAAACTCTAAATTTTTCTTGTAGCTCCTAGTTAACTTTAGATTGCCTAGGAACTGGTCCCCTTGCTCGTTACTTCTGGGTTTTTGTACTTTTCGTTATTTTAGCATGGGTGTTAACCTGTGCAATAGACAATTGTAATAAACAAAGCGTTTTTAGCTACCGTACTGTACTGCCCACGAGCGGATCTTCTTTGGTGTTGTCCCCTTTCTTTTGGTGAGCTCACCACTTCAGAAAACTCACTAGCTCGGATTTGGAGGCGTTCAGCGCTATCGAGCTTTTGCAGAAGAGCACTTTCTCCATGCAATTCGAAATATCGCTAACGAATAAGGGTCATGTCACCTTCTGACCAGCTCATTGAAAAAAAGGCAAATTAGGAGGTTTCTATTCTGAAGAATGCTTCTGATACGTGATACAGCAAAAGAATCTAGATTTCCTCGAGGCCTAATCGCGGTTGTCCGAACATGAGTAACAGTCTACAGAGTTATCTTAAAGCAAGACTAATTTGCAGAAGTTCACACTTTCCATGTACAGCATAGTAACTTACAAACTCACCATCATCAATGCGGATTGGTGGAAAACTATCGCTCACCAGAAGTTCAATAGGCCAAATAAAATAATCTCGTTTGGTAAATAACACTGATATACCTACCACCTCTCATTTATCACGCGGAACACATTGCACCTTCTTTTACCCTACCATGGAGCCTACTGATCTCTTACTGAGATCACCTTCCTAACCCAAACCGAAGTACACTCTACTAGCTATGAAGAATTAGCACTGAACTTGACGCTAGGCATATGCGAAGGTATCAAGTTAAATCTTATCCAATTGAGTTGCTCTCACATCTAACGCGAGAACCCCGTATTACCGTCGAAGTCGCCATAATACACTAACCAATTGAATCCAACAATGCAATATGACCTAGAAAAGTGCGCAGTAATGCAATAAGAATAATAAAAGTGCAAATCTATCGATTTAGAAGAAAAAGGCCTTACAAAAAGAATTTAGCTCATAGTTCATCAGTTGGAGAATAAAATTTGGAACAAAAGCTCCGCTAGCGGCATAGACCCTATGATAAAACAACAATAGCTCTCGCAAAACCACGGGTATAAATAAGCGCGGAAAACAAGCCCCAACACAGGCGTTCCAGTCAAAATGTTGTTCGCTTACAGGCTAATCATCACTCTAGAAACTCGTGAGGCTTGTGGTGGGCCAGAGCTCACCACGAAGTTCATATTTGCCGTCTAATAGCACAATTTTGCGGCATACCTCTGCTGAACAAGTTGCTCTGAACCTCCTCTTCGCAGAGGATCACCGAACGTAGAAGTCGGTGATCGGAGCGGGTCGCAATCACACTTTCTCCAATAGCGGAGACGTTAGCGAACGACATTGGTGTATCGGTAAGCACATAATCATTCTGTCTTGAAGTTTCGTGTCCGGGCTGCTCCATGTCCAAAGACGCTCGGCTTTCTTCTCAAAGAAAGTGTTTATTATTGAGAATTATTATTGTTTGTTATTATTATTGGTGTTGTTCTGCAAACTCTATCAGACAGTTTCCTCTGTCATTCCTTTCTCCTGCACCCCACATTCCTAGAAGGTGTTCCGTACCGTCCAATCGGGAGCCGACCACTGCGTTGAAATCGCCTTGAACAATTGTGTACGTCGGTTTGAGCTTCAAAGCCCTTTCTATTTCCTCGTACAAGCGCTCAATTTCGTCGTCCACTGCTAAAGTAGTGGGCGCGTATACCTGCACAATTCTGAGCGTTCTGCTCCCCAGCTTCTGCAGAACCGCAACTCGCGGGAACCGGATATCGCAAGAAATAACGTACGGGGCTATATTTGCTTTTATGATGAAACCGACTCCACCTGTTGTGGAGACATTATCAGCTCCTTCTCCCAGCAGAATTTCTGCACCGCTTGCTCACTTCGCTGAGACTGCGCGTGCTCTCCTTGTTTCGCAAACACCGACGATGTCGGCTTTAATCTTCTCTAACTTTTGTAGGTATATGTCTAGGAGAGAGTCCTTCGATAATGTCCTGACGTTGTGGGAAGCGTTGTGCACTCTGATGTGTCCGTGGTCCTTATTCCCGGTATCGTGGTATTGAACAGATAGCCAGCGATAATCCTTGCTCTTGGAAGAATTCCATATTATTGGACGTTCCTGAGGCTCCTTCATTCGAAATTCATCGATCAACCGCTACGTAGCCTTGTCGGTAGCCGCCTAGTGATTCTTCCATGAGAGGAGGACTCCCAGCGAAGAAGAACTGTATTTTTTCCGTATTTCCGTATTTTTTCTTTCGGCCACGGAACGGACACGAGAGCCTCGTTCAGTCTCTTAAAAATTCCGTTGCTATGTTGCTATCTGGCTAATCAGAAGCGCTAACCTATTCGCCAGCGTTTCTGCTTTTGGTTCTTATGCTTTACAAAGTGCAAAATCTGGTCTTTACGTACCACGCTAGACTGTCCCATCCAACTTCACCACCAATATCACCCAGCGTTCCTCTTGCACATTCAGAATAACCTCCTCCCTTTTTGCCGAATTGGTTTTAAGGACTAGCAAACAGCATCCCGCATCCTCCTTGTAGGTTTCCATCCTCAATTGAGTGCATTCCTTATAAGAGAAACTCCTGTTCCGTTCTAACTTTTCTTTCCTCAATTAATTTCCAATCGTCGTTATAAAGCCTGTACGAGATATAAAAACAGAAAGCAAGGACAGGTTATATATGCAACACAACATGGGCAGCATGATTTGTTGCATATATTATTATATTGTTGCATATATTTATATTAATCCATCATAAAATTTGTGCATAAAAGATAAATGCGAAAGAATGGTTCTGATGAAAATAACAAATTCAGCGTCTTTAAAAAAATCATTTATAAAGGGGTCAAAGAGGCCGCCGATGTATTCACCTTGCAAACATTCTACAAATATGACCAAGCGGCCAGGAATGCTCCTAATTTTCGGCGTTCTGCTCTTGGCGTCGTCTGTGCTCAGTAAGAAGGACAACGTCGACAGTATCTATAGAGCGATTAAGGATATCATTGGATTTAACCGAAACGAAGTCATGAAACTGAAAGAATACATGGATCCAAAAAAAGAGGTTCCGATTTTCATTCGCCATCATGAACTTTATTTTTCTGAATACGGACTCGAAAACCATCTCCAACATCTCACCAGCCTTTTGATATTCATATTACTCTTGGCATCTCAGAGAGCAAAATCGAAGCCTGAAATACGCTCGACCAGTGTGACCGCTCGAACGAAAGAAGTTTCTTTAGGGGAGGTCCACATGCTTACTCTGCTTTAAAAATATGAATGCTCGTTTGGTATGAGTGCTTGATAGCCATCTTCAGCCAAGTGATTTGTTCCTTCTGAGGTAAGAGCTAGAAGCTGGAACGTACTTCTTCACAGTCTGTAAGCGCGAAGGAGAAGCTTGTTCGAGAAAAATTCAGCATAAACACTCACTACGCTTAGTTTTACCAACCGTGTAACAGATTGAATCTAGACCCCTGGCACGAAATCGAATTCCGCGAACAGCACTTCTGCAGCAACAACGACTCCCGTACCTGAGCTGTAGCTGGAGCAGCGAAGCTATCGAGTTGAGTTCAAGTAGGGAGCGCTACTTCCGGCTATAAAAGAGCATGATCTTCAAATAGCGGCAACATCACGATTGTGGAAGATTTTTGTACATCGGACAGGGCTGCCGACGAAACAACAGATGCACATGAACCTTGAAACCCATGTTGAGATATGATATTGGAAAATCTTCTCCTGTTTCTTCCCATTGAGAAAAGTGAAAATTTTTATATTTATCACGGAGTGCATATAATTTACATTATATCTAAAGAAGGCTATTATGAAATCATACGAAAATGCTGATCAATATTTTTTCAGGCTCATGGCAAATTTGGAGAAAAAGTGCACAATTGGGCAAAAGCTATGATAACTTTACCAAGCCATGCGCAACATTTCATTTTGGCGGTTTGCTTTTCTTTTCGCATTTTTTTCTATTTTTTGAAATTGTTACTTGCTTTTTTGTACTTTTTGCTGCTACTCTATGTCCCTCCCTCACCCTAGAAAAGAGGCAAGAGCCTACATACGGTAAACTCTTGGTCCCTGGATAGATAAATTAACTCGTTAGTTTTTGCTTCTGCCTCGAGGTTTGTAGGTGGAAATATTTATTCTAGCCGACGTTTCGACGGACTCGTCGTTTTCAAAGGCCTGAAAGTGGTTCAAAGCGTGTTGATTGTACACTACCCCACCAAGCGCCTCTCCCGCACATACGTTTCTAACGTACTATCAGGAATGCACGAAAAATGTCCAAAATCTAAAAGATAAGCTCACCTCTTTCCCAACACAAAGTGTAGCCACGCTACACGGTTAGTACATTAGTAGCGAATGAACTTAGTTCGCTGTCCTTACACAATAACATTATTGCGGATGAGCACGGTTCGCTGATTATGGAACTAACTCGCAGTGTTGCATAAATGGCAAGAGATCATTTGTGATAGTCACACACTCCTTTCGGTTGTTCATGTCTGGATTTCTAGCTAAAATCCAGAACGCCTCCAACGCTTTCCTCGTCGATATTTCCGCCTCGTGAGCCAATATCGTACATTTGATGTTAAAGTCATTTCCACCGTGCTGCTCCACTCTGTGCTTCCCTAACGGAGTTAACACATTACTGCGCCGTTTACCAGCAAGGTGCTCTTCGATTCGTACTGATAAAACTCTTCCGGTTTCCCCTATGTAGCTTGAATTACATGCCTCGCATTGAATCTGATAAATTACGCCTACAGAAGCGCAATCTCCAACTTTCCCGTTTGGACATGTAACACAACCCTCTGTCATGCACTACTTGTCGTAGAGTCTGTTCCTCACAAGTTGGCGTTTGATGTTATCAGGCGGAATGTTAACAAGAACAACATTATCGCTCAACTGTGCTCGAACAATACACCGTTGCATTGCAGCAGATACCTTGTCAGAGATGAATGGTAAACATAGGGGAAATTTGTTTTGTCGCGAGGTGTTTCTCCTGCGAACTTGGGATCTTCCAGTGCTACCATGTGGTACCGTATAGCCATTCGACCGAGCTATACTTGAAGCTAATCGGCTTGATTCTTCGCGTTCGGTCATACCACTGCACATGCGCGTAGCTGTCTTGTACATATTCCTGATAACAGCGCAATTGACAGCAGACGGATGCGCAGATGTAGCGTGAATCAAGATGTTTTTCGAGCTTCTTTTCCGGTACCACTTCACATGTACGATCCCGCTAGACACTTTGATTTGAGTGTTTAGATAGGGGAGCCAACCATCTTTTGGTATCTCTCGTGTGAGCCTGATGTACATGTACGATCCCGCTAGACACTTTGATTTGAGTGTTTAGATAGGGGAGCCAACCATCTTTCGGTATCTCTCGTGTGAGCCTGATGTACGGTGACTGCTCATTCATTATTTGGAAACACTCATCCATTTCGGACTGTGTTGAAGTTTCAATGAAGCAGTCTTCTATATATCTACAGTACATCAACGGTAAGCGTGCCAGTACTGGTTCTTCAATTCTGCTCATGAAGCAGATCGCCAGTACGGGAGCTAATCGTTGACCCATGGCCAAACCTCTGATTTGAGAATAATAAGAACCTGACCACTTGAAGATGTTACAACCAAGACATTCCTTAATGAGAGTCATAATACGCGCTTTACCGAGCCCAAAAGTCTCAATACTCCTACCGTGCCTATCCAACATTTCAGATAGCGCTTGTAGGGCTTGTTCATTTTGGGCGTCCAACTTGTGAGGAACAGACTCTACGAAAAGCAGCGCCTGACAGAGGGTTGTGTTACATGTCCAAACGGGAAAGATGCAGATTGCGCTTCCGTAGGCGTAGTTTATCAGATTCAATGTGAGGCACGTAATTCAAGCTACATAGGGGAAACTGGAAGAGTTTTATCAGTACGAATCAAAGGGCACCTTGCT